AGAAGAAATCCAAAATATGCTTTTAACCATCCAAGAATCCTCTTTCAAGCCAAACCCCTAATTATTATTGAAATTTGATTTTCAATCATATTAGAACTTTACAAACCCAGATACCTTAGATTTCCTCAAATCAACCAAATATTAAATCACATAAAATTTAGATCACACCACAACATAAAAAGTTTTGGATTTCGTGTAATATTATTTTATTGAAAAATGTGTGGCTGATAAGAATGTAAAGAAAAATGAATTATAATTTTTAATGTGGGCCAAACATGGACTAAGTATCTTAGTCACTTGTTTAGTTTCACATTTGCCTTCACTATAAATGATATAATTTTTTAATAATTAATTGATAGTTTCTAATAAAACAAATATTATATTCTATAGTATGTTATATATTAATCCAATAATCAATTACAATAACTTTTAAGAGAATATATTACTAATAGTTTTTTGTTTTTGCAAGAAACTATCTGAGGATTGCAGACTTTAACAATTTGAATTAAAAAATTAATTGTACAACTATTATAACATAACATGTTGAAAATCAACTTACTTATTTAATTTCATTTTTAATTTAGATAAGGAGATTTTTATTTTTTTTTAAAACTCGAAGGCTTTTTTTCTTCGCAAAAACGTTACAACTCAATTATATTTTTGAAATCAACTTTCCAATTTAATGGAAAATAAGGGTGCGTTTGATTACCAATATTTTTCATGAAAAATGTGTTTTTTTTTATATTCAAATTCATGCTTTTGTGTTGTTTGATTGACATTTTTTTATATGGAAAATATTTTCCCACTTTTGGTCATGTGACTATTTTTCTAAAAATTAAGAAAAAGATTTATTTAGGGAGAGTAATATTTTATTTTTCGGGGAATTCATTCTCTCTTTTATCTATCTACTCTCTCTCATCTACTCACCAATAAAAAATAGGTAAGTATAATATTTTCTAGGTTGAAAAACTAAATCAGTCAACAAAGTTTACTTAATAATTTCTATATACAAATTTCATACCCACAATAAAACGCACCCTAATAATTTAATAAAAAAAATTGATTGGAAAATATAAAAGAAAAATAATTCAAAATTTTGAAAATTATTCAATATTATCCTTACTAAACAAAAGAACCAAAAGAATGAGGAACCGAAAAAAAATATTTTAGGTCTAAACTGCTAATGAACCAATTTGATCCATTTATAACAGTATTTCTTTTTAAAAAAAAAAAAATTAAAAGAAACAAGTTCATAGAATAGGAAATTAAAATTTGTTCATGTGTGACAAGAGAATTTATTGTCAAAAATAAATT